TTTTTTTGTTTTTTTTTTTCTGAAACCAGTGCTGCTATTTGTGCTTTGGTCTGACTATAAAGAAGGTTTTCACAGGTGACCTGAACCCAAGGTGGTGGTTTGGTGTAGTTCCTCATCCAGTTTGCTGGAACTTAAGGAATGGCTTTGCCATCTGATGGTCACAAAGCCAGGTGTCAGGAAGCCTGTAACCTGCCACAGCATCCTGTCACCTTCCTTTTCCTCTGCTTCTACATTAATTGAGATCCTTTGTCTCGCCAGACTCCAGCCCCGGGTCCAGCCTCTGTAGGCCACTCTTCAATAGCAGATTTTTCTGAAGTGTGGTTCTGTTGCCTTGGTGATCTAACACTACATATCAAAGTACCCCAAAACCTGGTGGCTCAAGGCTAGGAGAATATTTGCCTTGCTCACAGGTTTGTGATTAGAGCGGGACATAGCAGAGAAAGAGTGGTCTATTCTGTGCATCAGCAAAGGCAGCTTGCAGTGTGGGGGCCATAGTCCTCTGAAGGCTAGCTCACCCACAGGTCTGCTTTGGTGCTGGCCATTGGCTGGAGGTCTCAGTTTCTTGCACGTGGGTACTTCAGTAGGCTCTCTTGGGCTTCATCTTGGCATGCTTGCTGGTTGAAGGCTGCATTCCAGAATATGCAGGCGTGAGCACACACACTCCATGAAGAAGCAGCACTGCCTTTTCTGATGTAACCTGGAGTCACATAGTGCCACTTCTGCCATCGGACAGTCACACAGTGCCACTGTTAACCCTTGACAAGTGTCAGGGTCTTGTTGGGCGAATGCACAGGCTGGGGAGAATTGTGCAAGCCTGTTATGAAATGACAGCTACCACATTTATACACATTGCCCTCTCCTTTAGACTCCTCTAGAGCTCTCACTGCCTTGGGAGGTCCAGGCTCCCGATGTGGACACTCTCTGGCTTGTGCCATCTAGCCCTGGCCCCCACCTGTCTTGCCTCTCCCCCTCCCTCTCTGCTCTCTCCTGGCTAGTCTTAGAGATGAGTTTTGGTTTAAATCAAACTTGTAGTCACATGGCACTTCCTTCAACAGTGCTTGCTACCACTCTCTTCACATACTGTGTCTAGCTCCATTTTTCCTGAGACAAAGCTCAGACTGAAGAGCTTCTATATGTGTCCCCCATAACCTGGCCTCTGGCTTCCTGTCCCCTCTCACAGGCTTTTTATCTCCCAGCCTCTGTGTGCGCACCCTTTTCCCTCTGCCTGGATGGACCCTGCTCCCCACCCCACTCTCCCACCTGCAGCCCTACTGACTTTCCAGCCACTTAGACTCTATCTTTAGGTTCGTTGGTTGGTTTTTTGGGGGGTGGGGGTTGAGACACGGTCCTGCTATGTCATTCAGGCTGGCCTTAAACTTAATATGTAGCCCAGGCTGGCCTCAACTCATGGGGATCCTCCTTTCTCTGCCTTCTGAGTTCTGGGATTAGAGGTGTGTGCCACCATACCCAGTAGATGCTATCTTTTGGGATCTGCTGGTTTGTTTTGTTTTTTTTTTAACTTGTCAGACCTTTGCATAAACCAGCACAATGTGGTGGATGAGATAGCAGCCTCAGTGTCGCATCTGTGTTCATACCCTAGCTCTACCACTTGCTAGCTCTGTGACCTTAGGGATAATAGGATCGTGATGAGGATTAGATGAGGAACACTAAAAAAAATTGTCAAATTCCTTGCCTTGGTGTTGAATAGAAGCCCAGTAAGTGTTAGAGTTTCCTTTTCTCCTCTTTAGAGGCTCATGGTAAATGCTCAGTAATGAATTTTCTCACCCTCATTTGGTTGAAAAAGGAAAAATACATCTCCATGTTTGATCATGTGGGACTAAACTACCAGAAGATTACAAGAATAATTCTGAGCCATGAGCTAAGAGGGAAAAAAGTTCAATAATGATTTGCCTGCTTATTTTTAATAAAATCCTGCCAGTGGAGCTGAGTCTTTGCCCTCAGAAAAAGCTCTGCTTTGCTGCTATAGCGTCAGTGAGCTGTAGCTAGCTGGAAGTGTGACAGGGTGACCTTGAAGACTGAGCTTTGTGGGAAGGAAAGCTCCTTGATGGACTCCTGCAGCTGCAGCTGGTGGAAGCAGAAGGGTCCCTACCCCTCTTACCTGCTCTCCTGTGCTCAGGAGGAATGCTGAGTGTGGCCTGCCTCTCAAACCTCCCCTTGGCTGTGTCTGAAAGGTGCTACCTAGAGAATTGAGTTCCATCTGTCCTGACCATCCTGCAGGTGAGACAGAGGATGGCCAGGTAGGTGGTATGCAAGCTCTCCATTTCCAGTATCTAGCACCTTCTACCCTAGATAGTTGTTAAGAGGGCCAGGGGATTTAGCTCAGTGGTGCCTCCCCTGCCTTGCAAGCACAGGGTCCTAAATTCAATCCCCAGTACCAAAACAAACAGCAAAGACAGTTTAGGGAAAGACTGGAGTAAGGAAGGGGCTTCTGCCCTTCAGGAAGATGGGAGCTTACAGGGCACAGCTCCTTTATCCAGTGTTGTAACAGAGGCTGGACAGAGGTAGACCAAATGAGCTCCTTTTAATAAGGTCTGCCTCCAGCCCTAGGAGGCTGTCCAGAGTCCAAATGCAGAGGACACCATTTTCTGCAGTTCTGTTCCAAGATTGTTGCCCATGCTGGGAACAGATCAGTTGCCTACAGACCAGTGAGTCCAGGAGCCTCAGAGTCTAGGGTAAAGACAGAGGACCTACAAGGTAAGGCTGAGACAACTCACTTGAACTGAAGAGTAGCTGTGTACCCCAGAGGGTTGTTAAAATTGGGGGGAAGTGAGAAGGTGGCTGGACACACTGGGAACTGTCCCCAAAGAGAAGAGTTAGTAAGTGTCTGGTGGAGAAGCTAGTGCATCTCTCCCAGTTGCAGGGGATGACTCGGCACATCTGTAGGCCTTAATCTGACTAGCAGTACACCTGGGAGAGAAGGAAGGTGGGCTGGTTTAGTGGGTGGGGTGAAGATGGGGAAAGGCTTGAGGGCCTTGAGCACAATGTTGCAGGAAATGGGGAATTAGTGGAGGGGCCTAAGCAGCCAAGCCAAGTTCACACAGGGATCTGAACCACATTATTCTGGCTGTGTGAAGAGTATGGGTGACCTGTGAAGGGAAAAGTCTTGCTTGTGCAAACTGGAAAAACAAGCCTGAGGAATAGGATGAAATAATTCCTATTTGTAGTGATGAAATAATTCCCATTTGTAGTGAAGCAGGAATGAACTCCTCCCCTGGTCTAGGCCTCAATTGGTAATGGGCCACACCTGTTCAAAACCACTTACCGTTACTTCCTGAACACTCTGGGATGCCTTAGTTCCATTTCTCACCTTCTGTATGGGGTCAAGCACCTCCCAAATGGGAAGAAGCCCCAACTTGTAGCTGGTCCTAAAATAAGTCTTGGCTTGGCAGGGGCCCTTGCCTGGAACTCACTCATACTCATGGTGGTGGCAGTCACGAACTGGCAGGATTCTGAAACCCAGCCTGACCCACAGACACCAAGGAGGGCCTAGGATAGGAGCTAAGTTCTTGGTCCAACAACCACATCCCAGCCCATCTCTGACCTTGGTCCAATAACTATCAGCTTGTTTCCACTGATGTAAACTGGGGATGCTGTGAGACCCAGCTGAGTTGAGGACGACTAGAAGGGGTAAACCTAAGAGCTTAGCTTCTGGTGAGCAGGCACCCACATCTATTCTCTGTGCTTCTGGGATGTAAATCTTGTGTCTGGAACAGCCTCTAACGTGTAACTAGAACACACTCCATAATTACTGAGTTCACGTCACCTGTTACAGTTATTGTGGGGATTCCCAGCAGATATTGGCACTGGCCAGGACCGTGTACCTAAGAGTTCCTCTTGCACAGTCCCAGTTAGCTACTTGCTCTCTTGAGATTTTCTCCTACGCAGATGTGATCCTCCAATCCTGCAGGCCAGTACTAATCCAAGGCCAGTGGCTGGTGTCACAAGAAAGGACAACTTGGCATTAGAAGAGATTGATGGATTTCTGGGTTATCAGTGACTCCATAAACTTCCTCTTCCTTCAGTGGCCTTTGGGATCCCATGAATTCTCTTTCCTCCATCCTCAGTGGCCCTAGGGAAGAGCCTGTTGGAGAGTGTCTTCCTGCCTGTCTCCTCATCTTGCTTACTGATGCTCACCCCCTTCACCTAAGGTTTACAGTGCCAGCGTTACTACCTACAGAAGTTACCAGTTGGCCCTGGGGTCCTGAGAAAGCCAGAACCTTCCACTGCTTCTCAGAAGGGCAAATGGTATGCTTACCTCAATTCCATTTGCCCCTTGTTAGTTGAGGGCTGCCCACCCAACTTTTCTTCCTGGAATCTCCTCAGCAGTTCCTCTCCACCTTTGCCTGTGGCCTTCTCAAGATATGAGAAGCTCCCTCTTCTCACCTTCACATGAAATTTAAGAATTTAAGAGGGGATTTAAAGCCATCAGGATCTTTTTACAGCCTTATTTCTTTCAGAAGCAAAAAAGGGCCATTTCCAGGTAAAAATGAAAGATCTTGAGTATGTGACTGCTTATCCTACAGATGTCCTTTCAGAATTATGGCTATTCTGACACCAGCTGGTAACATGCAGTTTAGTTCTGGCACTACCCCCAACCAAAGGTACCCTCAGACTCTCAGGGTATAGTCCCCAAGACTGCCCTTCCTTCAGACACCAGTTACAAGTGGGGTCTCTAGGACTTCTGAATTCTGACCAAGTAGCTGCAAACCCAAAGAGTTCAGAGTACTCTCAGATACAATAATTTACTAGAATGACTCAAAGGACTTAGGAAAGCCCTTTATATATGATTATAATTTTATTAAGGACAATAGTCAGGACCAGCTAAATAAAGGGGCACACACAGGAAGGATCTAGAAGGGTCCTGAATGCAGAGCTCCCCTGCCCTCTCCTTGGAGTTAGAGCCTGTCACCCTGCAGACAAATCAGCGTGCTCACCCACCAGGAAGCTTCACCAAGCTTTGGCCCCCAGAATTTTTACGGGGATTTCATTGTGTGGGCATGATTGATTGAGCTTTGGCCGTGTGATGGAAGTCACTCTCCAGCCTCCTTCCCTTCCCTGGAGATTGGACTGGCTCCAGTTCCCCACCCTCTAACCACAAAATCCGCAGCCTTATCCTAAGACCACCTGCTGACTCACCGTCAGTCACCTCTTTAGCATCATCAACTCCAACGTGATGGAAGGAGCTTGGGAAGAACAGAGACATTCTCCTTACTCAGGAAATTCTAAGCCAAGCATTAGAATCCTCCGTCCAGGAATCTGGGACAAAAACAGGTCAGAATATTTATTTCATTAGGGATGGTGGTCGTATTTTTTTCTCTATCATAGTTGTGTTCTGGAAACATCAGCTCTCTCTTACCTGCTACCTCCTTCGACTTTTAAACATTTCCTGTGTGCCTTGCACTTTTATCTTCTTACTACAGCTGTCTGATGTATCTTTGATACTATTGTACTCATTTGAAAATGAGGAACTAAGGTCCAGAAGGGTGGTGACCACCTCAAGGTGGTACAGCTGAAAATACCCCAGTAGGATTTGAACTCAGCTAACCAAGTCTGGGTCAAAGTTGGAGTCTTTTGATTTTTAGCCCAGTTATTGTACCAGATGCCCCTTTGGCTAAACATGGCTGTTTTACCCTTGGCAAGTGTTGGCTGCTGGGAGATGATAACACTAGTGGTTACATGGCACACTACAGAGGCCTCAAAACTAGTAAATAATCTTAACCAAGGGACCCCATTGGGCTACCTTGCTTCACCCAGGCAGTAACCAGCCACCTACCAGTCTGTGAATGTCCTACTGGGACACAGAAGAGAGCAGAATGGAAAGTTCTTGGACTCTTGCTTTCTGTATCAGGTTTAACTGTATCCTGCAGCTCAAAGAAGAAAGGCCCAGCAGGTCCCTTAGCAAAATGAAGGCTGGACAGTGTAAAGAAATACTTGGTGCAAGGCCTAATGTAATAAATGTTCCTTTATCACCTTCTCCCAGATGGTTAGAAATGTAGCAGTTGGCATTTCCACCACTGCCAGACCCCAGGGGATGTGCACAGTTAGGTCAGAAGCCAAGCTTTGTAATTTGGGAAATTAGCAGCATTTGTGGGGTTCCCAAAAGATCTAGTTTCTCTCAGCCATACCCTCAGTTCTCAGTTGGGGGCATTACTGCCTCCTACAGGGCATTTGCAGGTGTGTAGGTGAGCCTACAATTGTCGCATGACAAGGGTTTCTTGGTATTAACTTGGTGGGGTCCAGAATTGCTATTGATCCTGCCCACATACTGCCTCTGCTTCTTTGGAAAGCCCCCTCCTCACTGCAACCCAGGCTGAATGGGTAGGAGCTAAAAAAACAGGCTTCCGGTCAGGTGATATTCCCCGGTGCACACAAGCAGGTGTGACAAGTGCACCTTGTTTTGCACCATTCTCTGATTCTTCATGCACAGCTCTTGCATTAGTTAGGCCTCCTGGGTCGAGGAAGCCCAAGATCTGGGAGTTGGAAATTTGAGGGGCAGAGGGAAGCATCCTCCATTGTCCCTGCAACCCACCAAGCATAGAGACATGTTGCTTCACGCTGGGGACCCTCTCTGGGGCCTGTCTCTCACTTCTAGGCATCTGCAGCTTTTTGTTACCTGTTTTTTTCCAAATGCAGTGTGTTTAGATAGACCCTGCCCATTAGGTTCTTCCTCATATGGCTCAACATCTCTTTTCTTGTTTTGTAGTTGGAAAGACGTCTCTGATCACAAGGTTCATGTACGACAGCTTTGACAACACATACCAGGTAAGATCTTAGGTACCTACCCTGTACCCTACCCACCCCAAGGGACTGCGCCTGTGCAGACCACCGGGAGACCACAGTCCCTCTGGAACTTATTAAGCAAGGAACACTGTGCAGTTGGCCCCGGGTTCCTAAGGTGTCTTTTTGGTTTGGAGGACCTAACCCCTCCCCATGCCAGGTACTGGCCCCCAGCCCTGTAAGGATCTTCTGAAAATCCATACCTCTGTGATTCCTGGCTCTGGAATGTTGATCTGATATCATCCACAGGTGGTTCTATATGACCCAGAAGCTGAGCTCTTAGGAGTCATTGCCTGACACCACTGTTGATGACTGTGGGTGGGGGGTGGTGTGTAAGTGAAATGAATTTTCCTTGTAGTTATGGCTTTCTGTAAAAGACACAGAACTTGAATCATTTAAACTATTCTTTAAATATACTGTTTTCTCCCTTAACATAGAAATAAATTATAATGCATTTTTCTAAGCTAGTGGGTCACTAGTTCTAGGAGATGTTAATTGAAAAGAAAAGGAGGGTGGTGGTCCAGAGCTTGTGTGGAGGTGGAGGGCTCTGGATGATGATGCTTCAGTGCAGGACTTCTCAGGATGTTAACTTCATCATTGTGGGGCTTTAATTTGCTAAAACCACATGTAGTGGGTGTTTCGTCATGGAATACCTTTGTCATCAGTTCTCAAGGACAGTTATTTATAGCCTCACCAGGGACCGTGCTTTCTAAGAGGTCCCTGCTCCTTGCTATACCTGGAGAGGGTGTGGAGGAGCTCACTGTGGTTCCAGTTCTACATCTACCTTTTATTCTGTCTCTTTCTGAACCAGTCATCCTCACCTCACATACCCTCAGAGAGCCTCCTCCAGTTTATCTCCCTCCTTCTGATTTATCCTGAGTAGTCTGAAGCACTAGTTTACCCTAGACTTGACTGCAAGGGAGGATGAGTGGCTGTGGAAGAGGGGCCCAGAGTGGGGCATATAGCCCTGAGCTAGGTCTTGGCCATGCTGTTGTGACTTCTAGGCCAAGTCGCTTGGCCCCACAGGCTTACCAGAAACCTCTCCTCCTGTTAAGGGCAGTTCTATGTCAGTGTGCAGCAGAGGTGACGCTCTAGCAGGTTCTAAAGTCTGACTTAGTATAGTGTGTGTGTGTGTGTGTGTGTGTGTGTGTGTATGTGTGTGTGTGTGTGTGTGTGAGAGAGAGAGAGATCTCATATATTTATTTGATTATTTAATTTTTTGAATATCAAGTTACTTAACATGTTGCCTATTGGCAACCCTTTGAAAGCAGTGAGGCTCTTGGCTGGTTGGTGTTCTTGGCGGTGAGTAAAACTCCCTTGAAATCTTACCCACCTCCATCTCCAGTCACTCCCATTGTCCACTGCTTGTCATGCTCTGCAGGGCTGCTGCCCCACCCCACCCCACCTCTTCCTTCAACACAGCTCTTGCATACCCCACACCGTGGCTCACAACCTTGCTCCTGCTGGAACGGCCTTTCCTCTGTCCTTTCACTAGGAAAATTCTTCTGAATCACCAGGCCCAGAGCAAACGTTTGCTCTGAGCAGTGAGGCCTGGCCGTGCTCTGCTCTCCCTCCCTGCCTGCTCTGCCCAAAGTACTTTGTCCTCAGGACGAATTTTACCTCCCAACTCTAGGGTCATTCCTCTGGGCTTAGCCAAGCCTGGGACTCCCACTGGCCATAGGTGGCATTACAGATGCCCACTGGTACAGAAGTGGTTTGAAGAGGCTCGGTTTACCTTGGGTTTTAGACTCTTATCAGACTGAGAGGCCCCAAGGTCTAGTGTCGTGAGAGAAGTTCCACAAAGAATTGTCTCCAACCATGGGATTGCCTGACGTGTGTGTGTGTGTGTGTGTGTGTGTGTGTGTGTGTGTGAGTGTGAGTGTGTGTGAGAGAGAGAGAGCAGGCGGAAGTCCTTTCCTAACACCCTTTCAAGTGGCACTTAGGCTGAGAAGCTAGACTCCACTTCTGTGTGCACACATTTTATTTAATGAAATCTCTGACAATGGAGAAGGGGACATGACATTTTGTTTGCCTTTTTTAGTGTGGTGCAGAGGTGTACAGGAAGTAGACAAGATCTCCAAGGGCTTCAGGGAATGAACTTTACCTCCTCCTAGATGGTCTCCCTGAATGATGACTACCCCTGCCACCCCACCATAACTACTGTATCCATTAGCCAGCACACCCTGGCAGAGCTGGCCCTGCCTGCCTTCTGTGAGGTTCCCAGGCAGTTCCCAGGATGAAGTCTTCCCTCTTTCTTTCCTTTCTCTGAGTCTCTGGCTCTTGCCTCCCTTGCTTCATTCTTTCTAACAACAGAAATGGACCTGGTGCTTACTCTGTTTGCAGAGTAGGAGAGAGAAGCCTGTCTCCAGCAGCAATGAAGGGCTGAAACTCATCCTGGATGACAGTCAATTAAGCCCCCTTGGTCTGGGGCTGGACATGCATGAGGCCCTAGGGACTCTTGTGAGTTCCTGGGTATATGGTGCTGGGTTCCTTGCCAGACCTCTTGGGAGGTTCTGTCCACCTGGCAGGCCCCAGAGATTCCACCTTGCTGGCCTTGATCTTCTCTTGACATGTGTATTGTGGCCTGTCACCACCCTGCCTATCACCCCATCTAAATCCACTTACTTGCGAAAGTGAAAAATGAAGACTCACAGTCAACTGAGATTCATGTCTGCCATGACTCCCTTAGGTAAAATCCCAGCTAAGAAATTACTTTCAAAATTTGTTGTTAAAAAAAAGCCTCCTAACCTGCATTGTGGTGAGACTTGGCGCTCTTTGTGGGCAAAAGCCAGCTGCCTTCCCCTGTCTGGTCCAGCTGCATACATCCTATTGTGGAGCCAGATAGGAGGTGTCAGGCCTCTGCAGGTGGCTGCTGAGGTGTTTGGAGGGAACAGTGTTCTTCTGGGGCCTCTCATGGGCTGTTTTCTGGCTGCATGTTAGCATTACCTATTTCAGGAATGATTGGGAGTCACAGGCCAGCACAGGCATTAGCTTTTTTATAAACTCAGAGGTGATTGAGATGAACATCAAGACTAGGAGCCACTGGCCTATACCTGAATCTCACACCATGGCAAGTTAGGAAACCACTGACCTACTCGCTGCCCCTGGAAGAGGGCCTGGCCTGGCCTGAGGAGCCTGCCAGCTTCTCTCAGGAAGACCTGCTTCTAGAGTGGGCTGTTTGTCTGGAGGACTGTGAAGTTTGTCTTGGCCTGGTCCTTCGTCCCATCCCACAGAGCCTTTGGGGAGGGCTCACACTGGCTATCTCCACAGTGCCTCTCCTGCAGGCCAGTGGGCTCTTGAGGGGCTCTGGCTTTGCCCCAATGTCTTTTCCATCTGCTCTGCCCTATGGCTTTCTGCTCTCACTTTCTGGGGCTGTCATAACAAATTACTGCAAACTGGGTGGCTTAAAACAATAGAAATTTATTCTGTCACATTTCTGGAGGCCAGAGTTTAAAATCAAAGGCAGGATGGCCTTGCTCTTTCTGAAGGCACTGGGAAAGGTGCCGCATCCACCCCAAGGGCCAATGGGAAAATCCCAGGACATCAGCCAAAGTGTGTGTGTGTGTGTGTGTGTGTGTGTGTGTGTACATGTGTGTATGAGCACACATGTGTACTACATTCAGACCATGAGAAGATGGGCAGAGGTGTGATTGTTACAGCCCCACTCCAAGGAGCACCTAGGGCTTTCACTTGTCTCTCTGATGCCCCATGGCATTTGATTCAGTTTCTCTGTCCCCTGCCTCTTCCTGTCAGGTGTTCCCTGCTGTGGCCACAGAGCCCTCCCACTTTGGGCACACACTGGCCTCCCATCTGACAAACTGCACCTCCTCTTCAAGGTGGAGACACACACTGCACACAATGGATACATATATGCATGCCCGTACACGCGCGCACACACACACTGTTGGATCCTGACACCTTGGCTTCCCCTGAATGTTTCTTTGGCTTGGACTCATTCCTCCTTCCTCCAGGGCAGCTGCCAAAAATCCTGTCTCCCCACCCACCCCAACTCTCCTCTCTCAGAAGTCTTTCTGCATTTTAGAACAGCCGTCGATTCCTACCTTGTCTGATGCTCCACATTCTGAGAGGATCCTCTCTCTAGCACAGGATTATCCTACCACACTTCACAGGCTTCAGGCACTAATGCAGAAGGGGAGGGTGAGCAGGCAGGTACTTGGATGACAACTGAGATGTTTGTTGTGATGTGAGTACTGTAACCACAGAATTACCTCCTGGGCAGTTGCAAGGCCCACCTCTTGATATTCATCATTAAATCTGCACAGGATCTGGCTTCCCTAACTGCAAGGTGGGCCCACCTTGGGGGAAAGTAGTGCTATCAGCATTGTTAATATAAATGTGCACTATACAAAAGCCAAAACAAAAATAATGGCAGTGCTACAGCAAACTAAATTGATAATGTTGAAGTGAAACACAATAGCCTGCCAGCACTGTCCTTGGGGAGACTGGGTATCCCAGCCATTCCTATCTCTGCACTTGGGTAGTGTTTTGCAACTTGTCTGATGAACGGGATCTCTTAGCCTGCTAAAGAACCTCAGGTAACTCTGGCAACATGATAAGCTCTTTGTATTAATAGGCTGTCATATTCCTTCAGGCAGGCTGCTGCTACAGCTCCAGACACCACATCCATATTTAAGGCAGAAAAAGAAAGCAGGATTTTCCCTGGACTCCTCCTCTGGCAAATTGCTGTATTTGTCTTAGCCAGGTCACATGAGCACCCTTAGCCTCCAGAGAGGCTGGAGAAGCACAATTTAGCTTTTGTGGTCTCTGAAGTAGAGTCCGGCAAGGGATAGGAGATTACCAGGCCCTGACTGAACTTACCAATAGCTCCTAATATATTTCATAAATTAAATAGGACCATAATACAGTCCAGATATTAATCTGGGGAATCCTTCCTAATGCACACACAGGTAAGTTCTTAGATGCCCTTGGAGTCCACCATCTAGAGCAGTAATGGTGAATCTTTT